GACTCCTATTGAAATGGAAACAGAAACATTTCAGAAGCGATTGAGATTTCCTGGATATTTTTTCAAATCTTTTTTTGACACACCAGCATAAAAAACATTTGAAGAAACTTCAGATATATTTAAAAATTTGTTATAGTTTAAAATAAAATACTAATTTATATATTATATTTAGTCCCTAATAAAGCTATTGAAAGAATCATGAAGTTTCACAAAGGCCTTCATAAAAAAATTGATCAATTATTAGAATGGCAAAAAATTATAGAGGATAAGGTTATCTACCTGGAAAATAAAATTTATGCGAGTCAATATTTAATCACCAAACATGATTTTATCAAGGTAAGGTTTATTTTGAATTTTTTCAAAGTCTTTGAAAACTTATATTTTATTTAAATAGTGTATAGTTAAGAGTATTGTAAAACAAGTATTTTTTGAAAAAGTATATCCGGACCCTGAAGATTTTTACCGAACAATCAAGGAATTTTTTCAGCAAAAACATTCAGAGTTCTACAAAGGCCTCACAAGAAAATACTGGAAAACATATGAAAAACATATTCATCAAGCAGTAATTCTTATAAATATTAATAACTTTAGTTCTTTTGTTATTAAATACCTTATTGCTTTAAAAACTTGTGAAACAACATTGATTGCTTCGGAAGATTATGGCTTCAAAAATTCGTGATGCTATGTTTTTGGTTTTTGGTAAAGAGTTTTTGGATACAATAAATATGAATACATTTGCCATCAACATTTTGATCTAGAAACAATCTTGGAAGACTGCCGAATGCTTTAAAAACCTTCACAAATGTCCAAGAGGAGAGACACAAAGCATGATGGCCCGTATTCTTGAAAAAGTCTAACCAAAGAAAAATGCCTCCAAGAAACAAGTGGCATTTGCCATTGCAGTATATCAAACAGTTCTTGATTCAAATAATGAAAGTATTTTGATAAATGAAATGTTAATTAAAAGTAAAATAAAAAAAAATAAGATGAGTTTTTAAAAATCTTTGAAGTTTTATAAATTATTGCTAATAATATTTTAGGAGAGAATTTAAAAAGGTCTTGGATTCGAAGAAAAAAATTCAAGTAGTGAAGATGAAGAAATGATTAATCGACAAATTATTACTATAGAAGATAATCCAGAGAAAAGTGAAATAATGAGAATAATTCAGGACAACTACTGAAAAATAGAGAATTAGAAAGAAGAACTTTGGTAATAAGCAAAGATTTAATCAAATAAATAAATATAAACAAGAATAAATAATAATAATAATAATTTTGTAAGCCAATAAATTTAAATTTGAATATTATTAAATTTAAATACATAAATATAAATATGGTTTATTATTATTAAATTAAATCAAAGATCTTCAGAGTTTAATATATAAATTTTTGCTCCGGAGTCTTTTAACAACAACAGAGGTCCTCTAGAGGTCTACACCCAAAGATCTTCAAAGATCTTTGCTAAAAAATTTTCTGATGTTCTTTTTATTTTGATTCAGTTTTTCTATGAAGTGTTTGTTTCTGGCAGCATCATATATTAATACCTTATTCCGATTTTGAATTTGTTGTACTTTGTTACTTTTTGATCAAACCTTCATTTTTGTCTTTGTTGTTCCTTGTAAATATTTCTTCTTGCTTGTTTCTGTTGCTGTAAAAGTTCTTCTAATAAAGTATATAATCAGTCAAGAATTGTTGGTTGCAATATTTCAGCCATGTTTGTTATAGGTATTTGAGGTTTTCATTCATAAAATAAATAAAATATTGTCATTTTCATAGAAAATTGTTTTGATGTTCTGTAAGCAAAAAGCACTGATGAAATATGTTGATCCCAATCTTTTTTGCCTTCAGTTAACTTTGCAAGTGACTCACACAAAGTTCTATTAAATTGTACAACCAATTTATTGGTCTGAGAATAATATAGCGTGAATAATAAATGTTTTATCTCAAATTGCTTGAGTAATTCATTTACTATTTCATTTTGAAAATAAATTCCTCTATCAGATAGAATTTGTTTTGGATATCCATGTCTGCAAATGATGACTTGATAGATGAATTCTGTTATACGTTTTCCAATAGCTTTAGAGATTGCTTCTGCTTTAGGCCATTTGGTAAAGTAATTTGTTGCAATGATAATATACTTGTTTCTTTGTTCGATTATTGGTAAAGGTCCTATAATATTTATACCAATTCTGGAAAATGGTTCTTTAACAGAAATAGAATACAAAGGTTCTGGTGTTCTGTATCTTTCACATTTTTGGCATTGGTCATATGATTGAATATAGTCTTTAATATTTTCAAACATTTGAGGTCAGTAATATTGATCATAAATTTTCTCAAAAGTTTTATCAATTTTCAAGTATGCACCAGTAAGATAATTATGCATTAAATAAATTATTGTTTCGATTTTATATTTTTGGATAACTTTGAGTAGTTGGTTTTGGGTTTTTCTTTTTCTGTCTTTTTTGTAAAGTTGATTGTTTTTGACTTCGAAAAATTTGCTTTGTGATTGTAAATATTTCTATTAGTTATTATTGATATTTGTTAACAGTTTGTTGTTAAGAATATAATTTTTCAATTGGTAATATTGTTGTGTTTTCATGTTGTTAAAGTTTGATTGCCAGGATATCAACTATCTGATCTGGATTCTATTTTATGTCAGATTTCTTTGATTGTTTCTTCAAGAAGATTTTAATCCACATTATATTCAAGACTTATTTGTTTAATATTTCTTTTGTAATTTCCTGATATGGATAAGAATATTTAAGTATAAACAAAACTTAGCAAGTATTTTCATACTGATATGCTATATTTACTTAGATCAGTATTTCTGTGTTTGCCACACTATATATAAGACTTATATGTCAAATACTCCTTTTGTATTTTTTATTTTAAATATTTAAGGAAACAAGAAAACCCCAAATATCCTCAACTATTTCAATTTCCAACTATCAAACATCCTTAACCATATTATTATCTTTCCTTCCCAGGTACCTAATTTTTGTTCCAGTTCCCTTTTAATTTTTATTTATTATTATTATTTTCTCATTGCAAAAGTGTTGAAAGTTATAATTTAGTTGAATCTCTAGATTATTCCATTAGTAGAATCATTCTTTTTTTTTTTTTTTTTAATACCAGAACGGCAATTAGTACCTTTATTACTTGTAAGGGATTACTGCATAGCAATATTACAAATCTAATGACTAATATACATCTCTCTTAGCCAGGAAGAGTATAATGCAAGACTCACAGAAGTGATCCGAACCATTCCAAGTATTTTCCTATAAACCCACCTAAGCGCTAGTAAAACGTAATATTAAAACCTAGACTTAATACTTAAACAGGTGCCTAGTGTAAACTAGGGAGGATTAGAAATACCCAAACACATGAAGGCGCTGCAGCCAAGTATACAGGTTGGCCTCCAAGTCATGGATGGGATTTGGCACGCTTGCTTTCCAAAGTTGGCTTGATGTACGGCAGGCGGAGAGGAGGAGAGGAGAGAGATGGTTTTCTTACGCATGAAGGCGCTGCAGCCACTTTTCACAGGTTGGCCTCCAAGTCACGTAAAAATAGTAGAATCATTCTTTTTTTTCAATTAAATACTAACTTTTCTATACTTCTTAATTTTTTTAGATGTCTGCCAATAACTTTTGCCATACTGGTTGTCATAATCATGGTGGTCATTATCATTATATTTCTTTCAATTCTTTTATAGTCACTATTCATCATCCCTTCCATGTTTCTCATGCTGCCTCTTCTGTTACTACTTCTGCTCTGACTCCTATGGAAACTCCTGCACCCTCTTTATGTAAATAGTGTATAGAACTAGAGCATGATTTATGTGTTCAAGAAAGAACCCTAAGAAGTATGAGGGAAATCAATAGAAATATTTAATGTCAACTGGCTCGATTTATTTTCTATAGACAAAACCATTCTTTGGCAAGAACTTTATATTAATTAATTGGGGAATTTCGATATTTAAAAAAATAGGTTAGGTCATATAGAAACATAACTCATAAAATACTTAGGAATAGACATCTCTCTAGACAACACAGTCGTGTTTAATAATAAATTATCTATTATATTTTAATAAAAATTTCAAAGTTTTTTAACAAAAGTAAAATTAAAATAAAATATTTTTATGTAAATAAATAATTAATTACATGTTATAGCCTCAAACACTATCATGCTACTATCAATGCTATATGGCTGACCAGACCTTAATTGGCATATGCTATGGATTCCTATTTTTAAAAACCAAGGTTATCTACAGCTATATATGAATCCAATAATATTTATTCATATAAATCATAAAAAGAATCAAAGTAACAAATATTTCTACTACTTTTCTAATTTTCAAAGAATTTCAAAAGATAAGAATTATTAACTATAAAATAAAATTAATATTCTTTTTCACTCAAATTTTTTTTCAATTTTTTTTTTTAAAATAGAATCGAAAAGTAAAATAAAAAAAAAAGTACTAATAATTAAAAACCCAAAAATAAAGTCAAAAAATAATGATTGAAAAATTTAAGGTAAACTATTTCTATTGCGTCATTGAATAATTCCTACACTATACTTGAACTAATACTGTTTTATTTCTCTTTTTATTTCATTTTTCCTATTTGTTTCATTTTTTTTTTCCTTCTTGGTCACAAGTACTATGAATGATTATTGCCCATAGCACGTATTGCAATTTTTACTTTTTCGCATACACCATCCTTTTATGTTTTGGTTAATCTTATTTTTATCTTGTTTGTCGGAGGCATTCCTAACAGTATGTTGCACTATTCCTGCGTATTCAGATTTTGGGACAGTTCTGTTACTCATCAGAACCATCATAATGGTTATCATTATGGTGCAGTGTACTATTTTTGTAATAAAGTTATAGCATACCATCTCGAGCTTCTCAATTACCTCGTATAGGTGCATATTCACCTATTATCGCCATGCTTTGTCTCCTGGTACCCCTGGCTCACAACCACCGACTACTTCTTCATCTCCTATTCTACTTTATTCCTATCAGGGAGATTATTGGTTACTATTCCTTCATCATCACAATACTCCACTCTATTCACATCAGATCTTCCTATGGTAAGTTTGTGTGTATCATCATATTTTCCATCATCAATTATTAATCCTCCATTTGTCTTCTTGCTAGGTCCTCTCAAGTCATCACAACTAACGATCATAATGTTACTAGTCAATATCATCACTATTTTGTTTCTCATGTCACATTTTGCGAATATGATATTATTGTTATTGTTACAGTATCCATCTGGCTTCCTCAGGGTAAGTTGAATCATATTATATTGATTGTTTCACACTTCATTATCGAATCCCAACTCTTCTTTCTTTTTAATAGATTCAATGGTATTGACAGGTACGATTTTATTGTAACCATCCAACCTATTCTCACACTTGTCCAGTATTTCTATGATAGGTTCTCCATCAATCCAATTCAATTCACTGATTCCAGACATTTCTGACATTATAATAAAATAGATAACTTAGTCTTATTTTACTTATTTTTTATTGGATTATTTTCTATTCTATTTTTAGCAATAACATTTATTTAGTTATTTATAGCATATATAGTTATTTATAATCTGTATAATGTAGATCAGACAGCCCAGGAGGCCTAAGTAGCCTACAAGGCTTAAAAAATCCACAAGGCTATCTAATCTATAAAATTAGAACATCGTGACACGTAGATCAGGCAGCCCAAGCACCCTAAGCATCCCAGGCAGCCTATATAGGAAAAATATTATATAAGTAGCTGCATGTATAAATTTAGTCTTGGAATTTTAGGATAACTCATTTTTGTAATTGCTTGGAATTCTGTTTTTGTATCTTAATAAATATTCTTATTTTATTAAATACATTTTGATTACAAAAATTCTTGGGAAATCTTTGCTATTTCTTATAATATTTGTGAGAGATTATCTCTAGAACAACAGATAGTTCTATATAATCTCTAATTCCTTCTAAAAACTACCATTCGGACATTCAACCGAAGGATTTTGGTTACAACATCACATCTCTCTCCATTGATTCTGTCTCTTTATCATGTTTGCACCTCTTGAGACAAATCTCAATTACAATCAGGTTTCCTTGCGATTTCTGTATCTCATCGTCATGTTCCTTTGAAGCTAGTGTGATTTCGTACCAGGTATTTCATGGTTTGTCTTCTCATTGGTTGTCCTTCTTCTTCCCATAATAGCATTTTTTCGCTTAGTCCAGAGTCACTAACTTATTATCCTTTCTTGATTTCTTCATGGCTTCTACTGCATTGGCGTCTCTCTCGTTGCTTTCAGGTTCTTTACTCTCACTTTATCGCTCAACGCTCTGACGTTTTTACTGTTCGCCACCAGAGTTCTCTTATAAATAAGTTTTGTTTCCTTTCCACTTAGTCTCATAAGTATACATTTTTTAATTTCTCTTATGTTTCTCTTTCTAGGGTCTTGTCTGGGATTTCTTCAGCTTTGAGATGTTTTTCGTCACTTCAAGTTGTTGAAATTTATCCACAGACACTTAATATTCTGGCATCATTATTCCTTATGGCCAGCATTCTACTGCAAGTAAGTGTATTATTTAATCTAATTAATTTGTCACTAGTGGTTGATTCTGGCACTAACTCGTTCTCACTTTCTTTTTCATTCGTACATATTGTATTCTCTTCATGGTCTCTTGGCATCTTGACTTTGCTTTTTTTCGAGGCTGACGTCTCATTAAAAGTAAATGTTCTCTTCATGTTTGTGGTTTTTCCTGGTTCTGGTGTTATCTCTTTTTTAACCTTTCCATTTTCTCAGTGTCGAATCCTTTTTTATTGCCATTAGATGGTGGGATTTCACCTTCTCTGTTCGGAGACCCCACACTGATTCTCCTCAAGATTGGTTCCTCATCGAAGGTGAATGTTTCATTAGTTGTCACTGTTTCGGAGCATGCTACTGATTCAGGTGTTAACTTCTCTTTTTCCTCTTTCCTACGTCACAATAGCTTCCTCGACAATCTCAAACATGGGAAGTACTGTTTCTGCCCATATCCTTTTAGCTTGCTATCCATTTTTGGTAGCATACATGTATTCCATTTCTTTATTTGATACTTATCACAGTTTCTGCAAGACGGAGTGGTCACTGGAGAAACACTTGGTGGCCTATTTTTATTAGAGGTCACATCCTGTCAATTATTTGTACCACCACTGATTAGGCACTGGATGTCGTTCCATCTTCGCCTCACTTCTCTTAGAAATTTTGACGTAGAAGCTCTTCCAGTCGAGGTGGATTGCTGGATAAATATCAATTCTGAAGGCATTTCAAAAATAATCTCGCAAAAAGATACTATTAACTTTTCCAACCCCAAATAGGTATTGTACACATGCTTCTCCAGACTCAGTCAGACTTTTCTTAATATTATTTTGTTGCTGCCTTTTTCAAGACCTCAAATATGACTTGGTCCATTCTTCTGGATCTGTATTTCTCTAACTCGTTGAAAGCACCTATAATAATGTCTCTTATTACTCCAGAGATTCCTATTATTACCTAGATAAAAAAATAAAACTAAAAGAATGAAGTTAACTATGACTAAAAAAAAAGATGAATATTAATAAAATAAATTTTTATAATGATAAAAAAAAGAATCAGGGTGTAGTGAGTATGTGTGTCATGTGTATGCACAGGTGTCACATATGTGTCTGCTTGGTGTTGCATCTAAATGAAAAAAAGAATATAATGTAGTACATCTAACTGGTGGTTGCGTTTAAGGAAAAATATCAGGAGGATAGTGTACATCGCGTGGTGTTCAAATCTCACAGTCATCACCAAATTGTTATAGTGAAATCATGGCAAGTTAGTTGCTTCAATCTGACTCATGTCATGTAATGCTCAAAAGAGTTTTCTTCTCAAAAGAGATATATGAATTTGGCCAGAGTTCGTAATGCCAACACAAATCAGTCCATCAATCTGTGTTCTATCTATTTACTTTGTGTGCAGCAATTCTTTTTACTACATAATACTGGGAATATTCTCACCAAACCAAACTTTATCAAGAAAGACAATCTTTATTATGCGAGTAGAACCTGTTACAAGATCTGATCTATTTATTTTTATTTATACTCTATATATGTTATATATATTATATCTAATATACTTACCATTATACTTACCATTATAATTTTTCTATAATTTATTCTTCACTTTTTCTTCATAACAGCATGTATAAATATATGTGCAATTTAGTAGCATGTAAAAGAGAAAAGTTTAGAATTATTTTAAAGTGTATTAAGTAATAAATAATAAAATAACATTTTAGAAATAAACTCTTATCTTGTTTTCCAATGTATTATAAATACTTGACTTGTATTACATAATTAGATAATAGAATTGAGGTTTTGTCTAAAGGAATTGACATAGAAAGAATTCTAGGTTAATTAATAAGAAAAGTTAAAAACTGGCTAAATCGAGAACATGCCTCAAGAGTTAGAGAAACCTATCTTATTTTAAACTGAATATAATGATCAGCAGTATGGGCTTGTTAAATAATCCATGACAATATACATTACCATATGTTACGGTGTATACTATATATCATAACATATGGTATTTTAATTATTATTGAAACAATAGTATACAGTAAATATGTAACTATATCATTTTGTCCAGGACTAAAAAATAATTGAACATGAACATGGACAGTTCTATCCCAAATTGTTCAGGTTCTGTATCCATGTCTATGACATCCCTGCTATACACCATAACATATAATATTTTAATTATTATTGAAACAATAGTATACTGTAAATATGTGACTAAAGATGGGTCCCTAAATTAAAGATGAAAACATAATTTAAATATCCCTTATCATTAAAAAAGTTTTTTTTTAAATATAATATTAAAAAAAAACTACCTACAAAGGTTTTTTGAAATTTAGGCCACTTGATCCAAGTATTTTTTGAATTATGTTTTTGTTAAAGTAAGGAATAAATAATTATATCTCTTCAAAAGAAACATAATTAATTTACAAAATTTTATATGCTAAATAATTTAGGAACCTATCCTTATATATGACTATATCATTTTGTCTGAAACTAAAAAATAATTGGACATGAACATGATTAGTCTTGTCCCAGATTGTTCAGGTTCTGTGTTCATGTCTATGACATTCTTGCCTATATAATATTACCAAATTAATAAGACTTTATTAAGAGTAAAATTAATAAAATGCTAAAGAAGAGAATTATCAGTCCTACCACCAGTTCTTGAAAATTTTCATTTGTAATTGTGCCAAAAAAGAATGGCAAGAAATAATATTATGTTGACTTCTGAAAATTAAATAAAGTTATAAAAAGGATATCTACCCTCTTTCAGTAATTAATGACCTTCTAAACCCCTTTCAAGATGTCAAATAGTTTACCTGTTTTGATTTAGCAAGTGAATACTGGCGAATAGTCATAAGTAATAAAGATAAAAAAAAAACTGCATTCATCATAAAATATAAACTCTATGAGTTCAATGTTATACTCTTTGGATTGTGCAATGCCCCTGCTACTTTTTAATATCTCATAAATGAACTTCTTAAACCTTATAAAGGAAATTTTATTGAAGTATACTTGGATGATATTAATATTTTTTTCAAAACATTTCAAGATTACTGTAATTATGTAAACATTATTCTAAATATTCTTTGTTAAGCAAATTTGAAATTGAATATGAAAAAGTACTACTTCTTTCTTACTAATATCAAACTGTTAGGACATGAAATCAGTTGTAATAGAATTATATCAGATAATAATAAAATTATCAAAATTAAAGACTTTTCAAAATCAACTAATGTCAAATAACTTAGAAGATTCTTAGGATTAGCATCTTACTACTGAAAATTTATTACCAACTTTTCAATATTGCCAACCTATTAAATAAAATTCTAAAAAAACAAATACTCTTTAAATAAACCAAAACACAAGAAAAAATATTTCAAATGCTAAAAATTTTTGTTATACTAACTCTTTCCATTGATCCTTTTGCCAATCCAAAAAACAGATGTTTTCAAAAAACTTTTTGTTTTTATGATAATAAAGTCTATACACTTCGCTTTACAATACTGGTTCCTTAACCAGCAGAGCGAGCAGAAGCTACCACTTGTTTTATTTTTTCTTTTTAAAACACTTTTCTTGTTT